GTTGCCAGTAAAATTCTAGAAAACATTATTTATAATCAACTACTTCAGTTTCTAACTGAAAACGATCTTTTGAACTCTACTCAATTTGGATTTAGGCCTTCGTCTTCGACTACTGACGCCCTTTTGCAAGTCACTCAATACCTTTATAGTAGCATTAACCAGAAAGGGAAATTCAAACCACATACTGCAACAAGCTACAATAACATTGGATCAGTATATCACAACAAAGGTGACTATGATAATGCCCATGACTATTACAATAAGGCGCTTGATATTTGGAAAGAAACTCTGCCTGAAAAGCATCCAGATATTGCAAAAAGCTACAACAATATTGGATCAGTATATGAAGACAAACGTGATTATGATATTGCACTTGACTATTTACAAAAGGCACTGGTTATTTGGAAAGAAACTCTGCCTGAAAAGCATCCACGTATTGCAAAATGCTACAACAATATTGGATTAGCATATCACAACAAAGGTGACTATGATAATGCCCATGACTATTACGAAAAGGCACTTGATATTTCGAAGAAAACTCTACCTGAAAAGCATCCAGATATGGCAACAAGCTACAATAATACTGAATCAGTATCTGGGGACAAAGGTGATTATGATACTGCACTTGACTATTTACAAAAAGGCACTTGATATTCGGAAAGAAACTCTCTCTGAGAAGCATCCACATACTGCAACAAGCTACAACAATATTGGATTAGCATATCAAAACAAAGGTGACTATGACAATGCACATGACTATTAGAAAAGGGCGTTTGATATACTTAAACAAAGTCTGTCTGAAAAGTATCCGGATATTGTAAGAAGCTATATGATAGTGCACTTGACTATTTACAAAAGGTAGGGGTGGTGATGTATGTGAAAAACGGCCGAAAACCTGTTCGTTAGCTAGGCGTTAATGGCCTATATACGGTCAAAAGCATCTATAATCACTTATGTGGAAAACGGTCTAAAAACGGTCTTAACGAATCGTTAATGGCCTGTTTACGGTTTAAAGAATCCAATATGTGTGTGTTTTTCGTTTTTCGTCCATCATATTTCACACTATGTGGATGCACTGGAATAAATTGTATGTAGTGGTACGTCAGCTTCCGAGCTTGAATAGCACTTTGATTGTGTTAGTCTTCGAACCGACATAGCCATATAGTTACAGTGACAGACTGGCAAACACAAGTTCTGATGTTCGAAAAAAATTATAGTGGCGTTAGATGATGTGTATAGTCTAGTACCTAGATTAGGTCAATTAGTGAGAAAGGGTAGATGCGACAGATAAGTCAATATCACGAAGTCGGAGGAAAATGTTTTAGGAGTTAATATAACTTCTAAAAACGGCCCGTTAACATTCTCAAAACAATAAAAAACGGCCAGTAAACGGTCAATAAACAGCCAGTAAATGGTAAGAAAACGTTTAGAAAACGATCCGTAAACGGTGAAAAAACGATTTATTTAAGACCCTAAAATGTTACGAGTTTTAGGTTCTGAAAACGGTCCGTTCACGGCACGTTAACTTACCGTGAACGACCAGTTAACAGGCTGTTAACGGTACCGTTTTCTTGGACCTGGGTGGTAATGTTATTACTTTAAAAAAATATGTTATTAATCTATCATATTTTGTGGCTGGTGATGCTGCATAAAAAAAGAAAAAAAAAACGATTAGGTGATTTATAACAGTTTTTGATCATGGAGATGTTAAAAATTTGTAAGAGTTGAACTCCAAAAATTGTATATAGTTTGTTTGTCTACATTTTTGGACTGTCGTGGACAGAAGCTTGTTTATTTCTGAAATTTTTTGATTTTGAACATTCGAGTATAATCAGCAGTAAAAGCAGGTTTTCTTATTTTAAATATCTAGAGTAATGGGCATGATACAGTTTTTATTACGCAATAAGTGTACCGTGCTTAGGCAGTATGGTAGCTCGGTATACTGCAATAGCTGCATCGTTATGCGTATTTATAGTGTCAGATCATTCACAACAGATATGGTTTTTTTTGGCAAAATGGCCAAATTCGTGTACAATTTAGATTTTTGGCCAACTTCTAGTTGAACCTAGGAATACGACTAAGTTCCACTAGAATATAAATTTTTGGCCATTTTCCGTTGGAATTTGACCAAAACTTGTTACGGACAAATTCCAAAATCCAAATTCCGTTTGGCCAATTTCCAGTTTACCTGTAAAATATTCTTCAAACTCAATGAAACTGTCAGCGTTTATTCAGCTATCGTTCGTCACTTAAGAGATATATTTCTTTTTTCGAAAAAGTAATACTCTTGGGTCGGAGATGTGGCACATTAAGTTCACTCTCTCCGATTAGGTTCAACTTTAAAATCATTGTTCTCTACCAACAAGCGATATAGATAATATCTCAGCATATATTCGTGTACTTCAAGTCATACTCTTTACAGTTGCTTAATTAGAAAAACTTTCGGATTCTATATTCTACTTTTTGAATGACTAACAAAATATTGCACGGCAAAAATTGTACAGTGTTTTTCGTCACACTATCCACTTTCAGATAACAATAATATACGCAATCAATTCCTCGCTTATAAAGATTGCTATATAAATCAACATTTGAATGTAGACGGTTGCTTGGTGGTAGTGCTTGTATTAGTATTTTTTTAGGAACTTTTTGCGATTCGTTTGGTGTCACTGTGATTTGCAGGATGACAATACCAATTTTTCTTTGCATATGGCATTTTAAATACTCAGTGTCGAAGTAAATACCATTTTTTTAATGAAAATGTTTCGTTTCGTGGTCATAACGTAACACGATTAACGTTTAAATAAACAATTCACCAGCAAACAAGTCTACTCATTAAAAAAAGTCTTGTTAGGGCAGCTAAAATGATGAAACTCCTGAAAAAGTGTTCAGCAGTTTAAGTCGATGTGACCACTATTGTAACACGCCCCGACCAAGACGCTCTGGCCGTGAACGAACGTTCGAGCGTCCGACAATTGCGCGTCGAAAGTTTGAGCACCGACCTTTGAGCGATCGACATTTAAACGATCCCGACAGTTGCGCGACCTCGACAATTGAGCGACCACAACAACTGAGCGACCCCGAACTGTCGGACGCTCAAACGTCCGTTCACGGTCAGAACGTCTTGGTCGGAGCGTCTTACAGTACTGGTTACATCGTCTTAGTCATAGCGTCTTACAGTAGTGATCACATCGCCTTAAACTGTGTAATACTTTGGAAGGTCGTTGAATTAAGCTTTGTGATTATAAACTCTTTCTGTTTTAAATTTATTTTACAAATTAGATTGAAAATTAAAGACGTTTCGGAAGATATCTTACTCCTTCTTCAGTTTAAGGAATTGAACTGTTTTAAAAAACCTTGGCAGGATAGCACCTATCGGTGCTAAAATGTGAAACTCATAATTATACCGTTATGGAATAAATCAACTTACTTTTGTACGATCAAGTAAAGTCTCTTTTCAGTTCGTGTAAAGGTATTTTTAAGATCACATAAAGGTATCGTCATTAGTCGCGTAAAACTTTTCAGAGCACGTAAAGGCTTTTTAAGGTGTGATAGAGGCTACTTTAAGAAAGTGTAAGTTCATATTTAGGTTTAGGATCGTGAAAAAGCAAGGGGATGATGGATAAAAATTAAGACCGTAGTAGAAAACTGAAACATAAACGCAGAGGCAACAGCAACTAACATACACTCAAAAACCCATAGAGGGTAATGATTAAGCAAAGAGCGATACAACGCCGCGTAAAAGCGCTGCAAAATCATGTAAAGCCAGCCTTCAGATGGTGTACATACACATCTAATTACAACTCAATGTCTCTAAAAGATGTGCATAACCTTAAGATGGCGTAATGGTCACTTTAAGATTGTGTAAAACACAGTTTAAGATCGTGTAAAGGTACCATAGTCAGTCAGTAGCGGATCCAGGATTCTACCGATGAGGTGGCGATTTCTAAACCATGTCGTCCGAGGTAGTATGAATATTTCTTCTAAAAAAGTCTGGTAGTGTACTTCCATTAGAATTCCATTTGCGAGGGGGCGGCTGTCGCCGGACAGCCGTAGTGCTAGATCCGCCACTGTAGTCAGTCGCGTAAACCTTTTCAGATCGCGTAAGGGTCTGTTTCAGATGGCGTAGAGGCTATTTTAAGATCGTCTAAGGGTACTTTTTAAGTGCGTGTAAGAAGGGGGCGGGGTCCAAAATAACTAGTATTCGCCTGGTTTTTGAGTATAAACCGGAACTCCCTCTACTTTGTAAGACAGGAGGAGTTTCACAAAACACACACTTTACACTTTCATATCTTTTCTTTTTCTTTATACTTTTTCTTATTTCTTAATAGTGGAATGGACGAATAACAACGGTATAACTGGGACAGACGAAACTATTACGTAATTTCTTCTTCGTCCGTTCCATTATTACCGTCATGTTGCTCATTATTCTTTAACTATCTCTTTGATCGTAAAAATTCAATCAAGTTTATAACCACAAAACTTAATGGCCTGAGACTGTTGAACACTTTTTCAGGCGTTTCACCATTTTAACTGCCCTGACAAGACTTTTTTAGTCAGTACACTTGTTTGTTTGTGAAATGTCGGGTAGTGGCGTAACCAGAAACTGGCTATAGATACGGCGGTGGCCGTACCGCCTCCCAAAACTTTTTGGAGGTAGTGTCTGCCAAATTCTGCAGTGGGTACGGCGAAAGTACCAATAGGTACGGTGGCCGCCGTACCTTGGTTACGCCACTAATGTCGGGGTCACTAAAATGGCAGAGCCGTTGAAACGTCGGTTAATTCCCTGTGACCGCCATTGTAAGACGCTATGAGTAAAACGCCATGACCACCAAGGAGGGAAGGTTAAAAAATGCCCAAACTCAGGGGTTTTTGAGTGTAAACTTCAATTGCTGTTTCTTTCGGAGATATAGGGGTTTCACAAAACGTACCTTTTCGTTTGTGTGGACCCAATTCTTGAACCCTTAAACAAAGAAAAGAGTCGAAGAATTGGATCCAAAACTGATTCTGGTTTAAATTTTTAGTTTAGGTTATCACAGGGTATCCACGGATGCCACAAGATTTTGTTTCTTTTTTTTGTGATATTCTGCTCTTTAGTAAAATAACTCTTATCTGGATTTGATTCGAGGATTTAGTAGGGAGGGGATGAAAATATTAAAAAGTGATTACATAATAGCTCGATGAAGCATATGACTAAACCACGTGATCAGGTATTTATACAGGACAAATGAATGCTAACTAAAACACATTGTGGGCCCTAAGCGATGAATAAAATTAACAGATGCCGCAGGATAAAAGCTTCTTTCACTGAACGGAACGAATGAAATCAAATTGAAACCGAATACATTAAAAGCAATTCTTTTTTCGTCATACAAAAGTATATGTAAGCCATTGCTAAAGAGCATGACTTGAAGTACACGAATATATGCTGAGATATTATCTATATCGTTTGTTGGTAGGGAACAATGATTTTAAAGTTGAACCTAATCGGAGAGAGTGAGCTTAATGTGCCACATCTCCGACCCAAGAGTATTACTTTTTCGAAAAAAGAAATATATCTCTTAAGTGAAGAACGATAGCTGAATAAACGCTGACAGTTTCATTGAGTTTGAAGAATATTTTACATATGCGAGAGATTTCTGGTGGAATTACCTTGATAGTTTTAATTTGTAAAAATAGACGCATCATTCCGCAAAAATAATCACACGGGTTTGAACGCACTCATGCGCTTTCTCTCCAGTACAGACATCACACAATAAAAGTTTTGAGTGCATTTGGAATTGTCTGATGCGACGGGATTCTCTTATACTCCCATGTACTAAAAATCGGCAATTAATCGTGAAAAATCATACGATTAATCGTGCGCTTAATCGCGATTAATTGACAATTTTGAAAAGAAAGAAAAATCATCGAAATCGCCAATTAATCGCAATTAATTTGCGATTTTTTAAGAATCGCGATTAATTGTTGAAAATACCGCGATTTCGTCGACATGGGTTCTTGTAGTCGTCTCTGTTTAGTTAAAAAGCGATAACATTACTTAGACACCATCACACGTGCAGAAAACTTTCATTTTTACTTCTCTATTTTGAAAAACATGAATTATATTGGAAGAATTTAATTTCAGCAGAAAGATGTATATATTTTTTTAACATCGAGAGGCACATACTCTGGTTATTTATAAATAAAAAAAAAAGAAGAAACTCAATGAAAATAGATAAAAATCAATTCAAAAACAAAACAAAATGGCAAACAATCACAAATATCACCTCGACGTAAGGCGTATACATGTGGTATGTAAAAGAACTTCCTAGATTTGAAAAAACAAAAAAACCAATTAGAATAAGATGCATTGCGTCTTGCACAATGAAAAAAAGTTTGAAAATGAAAGATGTTTAAGCAAAGAGTAGCTCACTGTTAAAATTATACACGATATAAGTTCAAGAAATGGAAGAAAAATAAATTGCAGCTAATCTCATTGACGCTTCTAAGTTCGTTCAACGTTAAAACAGTGCACAAGAGAGCTCACAAGTTCTCCAACTTGAGAACGGAGAAGAAAGAAAGTTTTACATAATATAAGAGTGTCAAAGATTTTTTGAAAATTCGTACATAGATTACCTAAACTACTTTCCTAAAGAGTCATCTCTCTACCAACATAAAAACTCAACTATAACGAATACATACACTAAAACGAAATATTGCTTCTGAAGACAATTAAAAGAAGTGCACTTTGATCGGTTTTCAAATGACATACGGTTTTTTTCCTATTTGAATGCAGTGTAGCGCCAACTTTTCAACGGTGTGTAAAATAAAATGAAATAAACGCTACAAATATATCTACAAATATCACAGGTGATAAACAAAATAGAAAATAAAGAAAACTGTACAGAATGGAGAGAAAGACAACAGATAAACTATCTTTTAAATAAACGCCACAAACCACCTTTACGTTCTTTTCGTGGTGCCATTAACATCGGCACCTGATTTTTATGTGTGATCGAAATCGTGCATGGCGGCTGCAACCAAGGTTCACCATCTATTTGCATTGGAAACGATTTTCTTGTCCTTAAAGTAGAAGTCATGATACCATCAGTTTCTATATAGTTTGATAAATGATATAAGATAACTAAACTAGATATTTCATAACACCTTACTCTTTTCAATCTCTTCTTTATTTTGTTTCTGAACTACTGTTAGAAATATATTAAATAAGAACTAGATTACCCACCGAATAACAACTGTTGAACATTGGCCTAGACGTTTAGCCGATGAGTGAATTCCGGCATAGATCGATCCGGCATGAAGTGCACTTTGAACTCCGACAACTTCGATTAGTTTATCACCCACATCTAAAATAAAGAAAATTACGTTACGATATTACTATTTTTTCTATTTGATAAAGCAAATAAGTTCTTCTTACCTTGCAACACAAATGTCATTTCTGACGTACTACTGGTAGAGTATTCTGAATCTTTGCGTGGAAAACTTAATTGAGTTTTATTTCGATTTTTTCTCGAACTTTCGCCCCATAAACTTATACCACCATAAATACTTGGTATATTGAGGAGTGATATACCCTCCAAAGATGGTCCATTCGCCAAATCTAATGACACTCCGTCACACTACAATAAAATAGTTGAAAAGATAGATTTTCAATGAACTGATACAATTTTTCTCAAAGAAATATTTAATTAATTTGTTACCATTATATCAATGTCTTCGTGTAAATTTTTACAAGTTGAAAAAATTGCTTCGGATGTGCCGAATTCAAGATACCATAATTTGTTTTTCATTCTAAAAAAATTAAACACATTCTACTAAAATTTTGAACGTTTGCCTGAGACTCGTTTGGTGTGATCGCAGATGGAATGAATCTGCTTATTTCGTGCACTTTTTCGGGTTTTTTTATGACACAACTTCACTGGATGGAGATTTCAAAATGAAAGGACTAAATGAAATTGTCACTTTCTGTTTTTATTTGGTCCTTATTTAATTCTGAAACCTCCATCCAGGGAAATTGTGTCATAAAAAACTCAAAAATTGTATGAATATCTGCTAATGGTTCGATGAGTCGTCAATAGCTGCCATCCTAACAGTTCATTCACCGAAGAAAATTAACGATCAAATACCTGCTATTAAATTTTTCTGGATGTTTTTCCCGCATCAAATGAAATCGATGGGCAATTGATGCATCCTGAAATGTAGAAAATGAATAATCAAACACATAAGTTCATTCTATTTTAATGCAATAATGAAGCACATACCACACCAATAGAAAAATAATTATTTATGATATTGTATGGTATTGGATCACCCTTCTCTTCGGTATCATTTCTTGTCGAAAATTCTATTTGCCAACGATCAAGCATAACAACAGGAGCTTGTGATACTTTTTTTAAAACTTTATTTAATGATTCACCCTCGTAGCCACCTCCCCACGATAAACATCTTGCCAGATCATTTCCTGTACCTAATGGAAGCACGGCAACGGGAGCACGACGACGTAAAGCCAGTTTATCCATCACATCCAATACCTATAAGTATATTTTCCATCATTAAACTAGAGTCCACTATGATTTCGATTATGGGAAACCTACCCATCCAACTGTACCTAGAAGAAAGAAAAACATCTCTCAAATTATAAAAGAAAACACTTCGATTTTGTTTACTCTTACCATCTCCGCCGCAACAGAGAACTCGGAATTCTTCAATTTCTTTAAAAAATTGTAACCTAGTGAAAAAACAAAGGACATCAACGATATTGTTAAAAAATGCTTATGAAACCATCATACCCAGGCATAGGTCCAGTCTTAATTAAATTAAACACTTGTCGAGGATTCAATAAATATTGAAATTTTCGCATTATTCTACAAGAGCAAATTAAATTTACAATTGATTGCTTAAAGAAATTGAAGTGAATGATGTCACCTTTCGCCTTGTTTTCCACCACTTTTGGGATTGATAAAAACTAATAGAGGATGTGTATTTGAAGGAGGATTAATTTGAAATGACTAAAGTTAAATAAATATTCACAGTATGTTGAAAAAACTTTTTTTGTTTAGAACTGAATGGATGGATAGTGCTAATCGAACGTTATTGAAAAAGAAATCCGATCATCTCCATAATTAATTTTACGGAATGTTCTCTAAAACAAACCTGTATTGATCCTTCACAACAAGATTCTTCTCGTTTTAATCCACCACGTGCTATGGTCTTCTGGCGCTCCTAAATCATAAAAAAATTCTTTAGTTTACAAATGACAGCAAAAAAACATCATTTTTATGTGTAAAATTTACTAGAACAGCGGGCGATATACAAGATGGAGGTAAAATGTGTTCACGATTTGTACCCAATGTGCATTCCGGCTTGACATGCGATGCACATTTGTTATGTAACTAATAAAAAAAGAAAAACAACATAATAAAAATATAACTTTGAGAGTTGACACAAATATACCGTTAATTGACACCATCGACAATGTAGACCAGTTATACCATTGTAAGTTTTTATCGATTTTTTACATCTATCACATTTTGTTGGACAATTTCCTTCTATCCAATGGTGCAACATGGTCTAAAAAATATAGTTCAAAATCTTTCTTTAAATCAACTAGAATTGTTATTATCATATCTCTTACATAATCGGCTTTTTTCGCTTTGGAATACGTTGAGACACATGATGCTGGTGCTCTGTTCGCACAACGTTCATGAACAACATATCGACAAACTAAAATAAAAATACAATATAAAATTAATGTTTTTTTAATATTGTTTTTCTTGTAAAAATGCTTACACGTGCAACATAGTCCTTGTTTTCCTAATCCAACTAACATTGTTAAACATAAATTACAATAGGCTGGTTTATTAAAATGCTTTAATCGCCAAACATGTGTTCCATCATCTTTCACATTCTAAATCAATTTAAAATTTTGTTTTATAACTGCGTCATTAAATATAATTCAATGAATATTACCGAATCTAAACCTAATAATACTAATAATGGTGCAGTTGTCAAACCACCTTTTTTCCATTCTTCAAGTGTTACTTCTCCATCTCCATCATAATCAATTTCTTTCATCATTGATTCTAATATCTGAAATTAAAACATGATTAAATATATTAGTCATTTATAAATCGATTGTTCATACTGGACGCAATTCTGTCACATCCCATCCTAGATATTCAGCAACATTCATCATTTGATTCACAATACAATCCGTTTCCTAAATAAATAAAATTAATTGACAATTATCCTATCATTATCAAATGTCGATTTTACTTGTTTATCCAGTATGCCATTATCATCTTCATCATACAACATAAACATGACTAAATAAAAAGACAAAAAAAAAATGAATATATTTTATATATTTTAGAACAAGAATATTTCTCAAAAATTTAAATCTATAAATTACATTCAAGTTTTTGTTCGGGTGAACCACCTTCAAGTAATGAAAAATAGCAAACAATATCTTTAAGATAAATTTTTGCCGAATTAATATCGATTTGTTTGCTAATTTCTTTGTCAGAAATTTTAAACGGTAAATGGGAAATGGATTGTCGAATCCATATATCATCACCAGTGGTAGATGTAACTTAAATACAAAAATAATATTATAAAAATATATAATAATAAAATAAAATAATAATTATTACCATTATTATGAAGTGAATGAATTGAATGAATGGAAGGATTTGATTTACGTGATGAATTTCGTGAATTATTTGGCGATACCGTATCATTTTGTTCGTGTGAACCAGCGCGACGTAGGAGATTTTGTTGATGTTGTTTTCCTGTTGGACAAATACCTAAATAATCAATCGATAATTAAAGAACATTTTGAACGCATTAAATATGGTTTAACATTCAACTAGGATGTTACGAGTTTAGGATCGGGTTTTTCAATCTTCAAAAAAAATTGTACAATTTGACAGAAGAAGAGATTCTTTTTGAATATGCTGAAATAAGAGTGAACATATTCGTATAAAATAAGAGGTGACAGAGTTCTGACTATTCTTTCATTCATATTCGATATTTGTTCTAATAATGTCTTCCACTAAGTCTAGACTCGGACTCACTCAAGTTCGTTTAAATGTTTGTCACTGAATGAGCACAGAATCACAAGCAAAAATCACACAGAGCTTACTAAACCCTTATTTCGTAGAGAACCATGTACTCTGCATTTCTAGCAATACAAAAAAGTTTCATATAGTCAGAGATTCACGAGAAAATTTGAAAAAGATAATTGGCTCCTAACATTTCTGTACAAATCCTTCAAACTCTTATTAAACGTGAGTATTCATTGCAAATGTTGACAGTTTTTATTCTGTGTCTATTAATATGCCATAGTCTCTTTAAAATCTTTCTATGTCACACTTAAAATTTATATAAAATTTTTTTGTTACCTTTCCTTAATGACGTATCAGCATCTCGATTATGATATCGAAATTTTTCAGTAAATTTGAGAAATGAAGGAATATTGCTATTGTTTACACCATCAATATTCGGACTTGGTTGATGGTTGACTTTTATCGCTGCCGGTAATATTGACAAAGCCGGAGTTGGTACACCATCTTTCTCTGTTGATAAAATTGGTTTTTTAATAAAAGAAAGAAATAAATGTTGACATAATTCTTCTGGAAGTTCGGTATTATCAAGATAAGCAGTAAGAAATTGTTTAAATCCTTTATAATCAAGTTGCTAAAATAATAATATTAACATTTATTATAATTCTAATATAAATTATAAAATTTCAACACTTACTTCATCATGTTTATGAGTTAACCATAATGAATCTTGTTCTAGCTCGGCAAGTACGTCTTTGACTTTCTTTGGTGCATCTATAATACATACAAAGAGCAATAGATTACAATTTAATTATTCTTCAAAAATACAGCTAAACGATCTTTAAATCTCTGGAAAAGAAAAAAAGAAGATAATTTTGAAATTTATACGATGGTAACAAAAGTCAAATTTATATCATATTGACTTTTTGACTATACTGTACATAAGATATGCTCAACTTATATCACAAAAATATAATCATAATCATCAACAAAATATAATGCTTAAAAGCAATGTGTTAATCTCTTTATTAGGCGTTCACAAACTATATAATAGTTATAAAATGTCATCGAAATAATAACAAAAATCTTTTGATGCTTAATGTTCTATATATTATATCTATAATATGTGTTATCTTGAGTGACAATAAAATGATAGTCTAGTAGTTAAGATAGAAAAAGTTATCGTTGCTAATATTCTATTTAATAACTGTATGCATGAAGACGAAAAAAAAGAAAAACAGATTGACTTTTTTTTTTATGATTATATCTCAGGCGTTATTTAAACAAAGAAAAACAAATTAGAGTGCAAAATAATCAAAGCACAAAATTCATATGTGTACAGTTCTTGATGGTATCTTCTTTTTTTTTTTTTACTTACATGAAATATATTCTTGTAGCTGTGTAAACTCGTTTGGAGCAAGTTTTTCCCAATTAAATCGGCTCATCACCGTCGTTTATCACTATAGTCCATATGAACAAGAGAAGCTTTCGTTGCATAGCTCTCTTTGGTGGGCCAAATTGTTAATGATCTATGGACATTTAAAATTTTCTATAGATAATACATATTTTTTTCTTGTTTTTTAGAATTTTTTTTTTTTGAATTAATTTGTATAGAAAAAAAAATCGAATAATACTCGACAAAAACTTGTTTTCTTTTTTCTTCTTTTTCAATGTCTTTTGTCTATTGTTGATTTGATATATTTACCGTCACTTCCGTCCGGTTTTAAGACTATGAGAAAATTTAATTTCACTCACTACTATCGATGCGAATAAAAAATTATACGAGAATGAAATATATCAGATTTTATTATAAATTAATATCAAACGTTAATGAAAATAAAATAAATTTGTATTTTAATAATATCATGTCTGTTTGGAAAATGTTAACATTGACATTGTACTATAATCTAAAATACAAGAAAAAATTCAAATATTCATGTAATCACCGAACTAAAGATGATAGATTCACATATAGATCAGTTGAACCTTTCCTCAACTCTATTTATGTCTGTGTGTGTATGTGTGTGTGAAGCAACTTTTTCAATGAAAAAAAGTTTTATTAATATAAAATTCAAAAAACTTCGAATTTTTAAATGTTACGAATCATGACGTTTTCAAGAATATATCAGAATAAGAAGAAAAAGAAGACAATCTGACAAGTTTCTACTACAATCTTATATTTTCTACTGAACTGTCGATATTCATATCTCAAGCTTCATCGACTCATCCAACATAAGAATATGCAATAATTATATTTTTATAACCTGATCGAAGATAATAGCTAAAAATAATCTTATCTCGTTAAATTATTTATGCTTCTGAAAGATTGACTTAACAAGGTGCAAGGTACGAAGAAGGTTATAGAGTTCAGTACTTTTTATATAAAAAAGACACAATAAAAATTTTAGTAGAAAAGAAAATGCCGTGATGTATTTTTCTCTTATTTCACACTTTTCTTTGTTCATTTTAAAATAAACTGTGTTGAAGGTAAAATTATTTTGGTCAAAAAATTTCAGTAACAAACAATACATGTTAAGAAAAATGGATTTGAAAAAACAGTTCAGATCATCAAAATTACTTACTGTGTATTGTTTATAAGATCTCTTGTTTCATAAATATTTCGACTATTTGCTTCACTGATTCGTTTGACTAATTTTTCATGTAGTATCCAAATTTTTTAGTCTCTTAAGAGTTGTTTTTTTCTTTCTTTTTTTTTTCTTGTCTTTTTCCTCCATTATCATTTCTATCTGTTCCTATTACTTAAATTAGCCTTAAAAAATGAAGAAGAATATTTTTTGCTTTTCATGTTCATAGAACAGCTAAGGTTAGGATCAAATAGGAGAGAAAAATCATCTATTACTTTCTTGTTTTATATGAACAAAGAGGGATGACACTATCTATGAAGAAAAAAAGGTTTTCCATAAATGATTTTCAGAATGTTTTTTTACATTTTTGATCTCTCATGTTTTCTTCTTTTTTTTTTTTTATACTACTGAGCATGAGTAAAAAAGAAGAAAACATGAAAAAAGCGATTAGAAATTTGACGACTGATGCCTGGGTAATTTATCAATTTTAGTAGTAAACATAATTCTAATGACCTTTTTACATTCTATTTTAGAAATTTAAATTAAAAATATGTCCATCTATGTTTACCTAGATGTTATTCACTATTCTGACTTTTTAATATTAACATCAACCAACTCATTAGATAATATGATAAAAATAGGATGAAAATGTTATTAATTCTTGTTACTGTAATATGAACGGTTTTTTCAAATTAAAATTAGAACTTAGATATATTAGATATCGGATAATATTCGAATATAAATTAATTTAATAATTTTTTTACTGAAAAGTGAAATCAAAATCTATAGTTTACTACAAATTTTTCATATGAATTTTGTTTTCCTCTGTTAGTAGATGATAATCATAATATTCACTTTTCTATTCGATTTTTTTCATTATTCACGCTAAGAAAATATTGTCTCATTCTAGAAACAACAACATATTAATCTATTTTTATTTTGAATGTTAAGCATTTAATCTGACAATAGCTCAATATGTCCAGAGATAACAAAAAAAGTTCATCAATTAGTATAATATCCTGTTTATATCTCTCATGTAATCACGCTATATACTCACAATGATTAAATATACTAGCAAAATTAATCTAAATATTTGCTTTATAAAAGGAAATTTGACAACTATAAAATACGTATTTTTTTGTTATACACTTTGCTTTTAGAGTTAGTTGATTGATTTACTCGCACTACGCCTACAACAAGTATAAAGGACACTTTCGCTCTTTATCCATCTGTTAAACATATAGATCACCGGTATTGTTTTTTCCGAGAGAAAAAGTTGTCAAGTATTTTTTAATACTTTGTCTTTGTTGTTTTTTTATCGCAAGCAAAAAAAGAAAAAAAAAGAAGAATAGCGTATAGAACATAATAATAATCATTACCATACACATAAAAAGAAAAATTAAATGATCCCAAATGTTGAAAATGGTAAAAAGAAATCGTAGTTTACTTTGATAAGTATGATTAACAGATGACACACACACAAATATAGAAAAAACAACAACTTGATAATAGAGAGAAATATGCGCAAAAGATAATCAAGCTGAAGTAACAAAATGTTTTCTCAATTTAACTTTTCTTCCAAATCTCGTATTTCCTTATCAACGATTAGCACTCTAAAGATTTTTCAGGAATTACGATTAGTTGAATGCATCACGTGATAGAATAAAAGAATAACCTTCCCATCATTGTTAGTCTTGAAAATATGGTAGACTCAATATTTCATGAGAAGAAGAAGAAGAAGAAGAAGAAAAGAAAAAAATGAGCCAACCGCGAGAGAGATCTATTTTCGAAATAATCATTAATCATCTGTTTTATAGATGTCTGTTGGACGTGTAGTAACCTTGTTTGCTAAATATTTTATAAAGTATTTATATTACACACACGATTACAGTCTTAGAATTTTTGTTTCTATATATAAAAATTGTTTTATTAATACACTGAACGTTCAGATATAGAAAAAGTTTACTGTAGTATACTCTCTTCTTCGGTTTTTTAACTGATGAAGCGAAATTACTACCTTTTTTCTTTTTTGTTATATGTGTGACAACATATTTAAATGTATAAAATTCTAATTATTGTTTATCTATTCTTTTCGATTAGTCAAGTGCCTAATTCAGAACTTGAAAATATGTAACAGAAAGAGAGAATATAGGCTGTGCTCAAAGAACTTCATCTTGAAAGAGATGAAGAAAGAAAGAAGTATAGATACCAAGTCCTATGTCTTTTTTTTTTTTTCTCTATTCTTACATTACATATATTGCTCAAAGGCAAAATTTCTAGTTTTAATTATAAATAATAGAAATATCGCGTTTATAAGATTTTCGCGTACGATTTGGGAAATGTTTTTCTAAAAGTCTACTACTACAATATTTTCTGTTGTGTTCTATTTCTTATTTTTATTGATTCAAATAAAAACAAAGTATTTACACAATTCATTAGACTAATATACATATACATTTATGTGGTGATAGTCGTAAAATCTCTAAGATTTTAGCTACACAATACAAATTGTATGAAAAGGAGAAAAAAAAGTGTTTAGAGGCTATATATCAATTGGAAATAGATGATAGTTGCGGAAATGATGCTTTTTTGAAAAAGGAGAGAGAGGGAGAGAGAATAAGGGAAGCAACTGAGCGAATGAAAAATATTATTTTCGCACTTTGTACCATGCGTATACTCTCACCGACTGAGTATTATTAATGACGATGATTCTCTTCTCATATCTTTGAAGTACGTTTTTTCGTAAAAAATGCTTGACTCTCACGAATTGTACTAAAAGCTATAGCTAATATTCATTCTTGCAAATATAATCGCGATATCGTTTACAAATGTTACTTTCATTTATGCAATTAATCGATGAAAGAAACGATGCGAAACCAAAAGTTTTTTCCCATGTGATACTAACTTGCGGGAAAAAAAACATCTTTTTATTCAAACATACACACAAAGATCTTTATAGATACAAAAGACATCTGACACAAAGATAATTAACTTCATTCAAAATTTGAAAGCCGTTTATATAGAATCTTTCTTTATTGCTCTTAATTTCTGAAAAGAAAATACATATTAGATTAGACCTCTATAGAGAATCACGCTTGTTCTTAATAAATAGTATTTTCCATCATAGTTCATAGAATTACGATCCCCTTTCTCTTTCTCCAAACAGAATAAAGCAAGTATTAGAAAAATATAGCATCTTTTTTTTGTTTTTTTCATAGTCTAAGAATGAATTTGTAGAATCTAGACAGTATATTTACTACTGAAATTTACTTCAAATATTCTAAAAACTTGATTTTTAAACAAATTTACCTTTCATTTTTTTCTAAGTATTTTTTATTATAATGATAGATCAATTAACTTTCATAATATCGTGAGTCTAGTTTCTTCATTATCTTAATATGATATTAGAGAACATTCATAACCGTGTAACAAAAAAAAAAAATTCTTGTCACAGTTTTACCTAGAGTATATATTTTATAGTCATTGTAAACATATATAAAAAACACGATATTAAATCAAACCATGTAATACATGGTATTCTAAATTCGAAAACTAATGAAACTCATCTACTTATATGTTTGTTGTTGTGTTAATGTATTTTTATAGTAAAATACAATGTAGATACAAAATGGTGACGACAACAGATTGGTAATGTGATGATGATGTTTTTTTTGATAATCATAAAATATTATATTGATTGCTACTGTGGCTGTTACTACTTCATATATGCATATAAACCAAAAAACTCAAGCAAAAAAAGAAGATAGAAGAAAAAATGTGATACATAATTTTTCCGTTTTATTATATTTGCTGTTGTTGCTACGATGATGATGATAATGATGATGATGATGATGATAATGATGATGATGATGTTTTTCTCCTTTTTTTTTTCCTAATGTTTCTAAGAACATGTGTATTTTTCATCTGCTAATAGTTGTATGATCAATCGAGAAACTTTCCAAGCGCATATATATATATATATATATGTATATGAACAAGTTCGTCATCATGAAGAGTTATACATATATATATCTAAAAGTTAATGACACACACACACACATCGCCATTGCAAGTTATATGTTTTAATATACATAACTCACAAACAACAAGTGTTGTAGATATATTATTTTTACAGAATAACGACTGAAAATGTGATGCGAAATCATAATCGTATTTACCGTGAATCTTGTTGAGTAATAAACAAAAGAACAGAGAACAAAAAAATATTATTATTACCGTATGCTTGCCTTTACAAACGAAAAAAAATCTAGAGTATGTGTGTGTGTGTGTGTGTGTGTATTATGATATAAAAACTGACTTTTCCATATTTCCATTTTTCTTTTGTGAAAATGAAAAAAATGTTTTCTCATAACTTGCTGTGTTCTATACTCCCTCACACAAGAAAACAGAAAAATTGTATATAACGTAAAATGAGAGATTTTTCTTTTTTTCGTCCATTTTTTTCCTATTCTTTGTTTCAATAATGATGGTACCATGATCTTTCTCCCTTTCGCACATCCTCGTTCTTCTGGGAAGAAAAAAATTTCTCCACCAAATATATTTGGCCTATGTGTTTTTAACCTTAAACTATTGTATTAGATCATACTTTGTTTTCTGTGATAGTAGCCGCCTCAAAAAAATTAATTGGCTATCAATATAAGAATATTTATATTTTACTCTAAAGGAAGTTAATGTCGTTGTATATAGGTGTTATAAACATCTAATATATCAGCAAATATCAAAAAGAACATTAAAGTTCGTCGAATATTATATCTCCATTAAGTGTTATTGTTAAAGAAAATTCATTTTTCTCAATGATAATATAAATTTATAGATGTATTAGAAAACAAATTTGAATTAATTTGAATAAATAAAGTATAGAACTTTAGTTGTTGTTTTTTTATCAAACTAGTTTTTAAACATGATTTGTCAAGGACGATATATTATGGGATAAGGATAATTATTCGTACACGTATTAGATTATATATCAACGAAAAACTAACCGGAACTATTTAACACAGAAACTCTATTTGTGTGAGAAAGAATGTCGAGTAACTTAACTCTATCGGAAATGAGATACTCTTCACTATGTTTATCTTAAGTATTTTCTTTTTTTGTATATGCGTCTGTATTTAGTTATTAAATCAAGATGGGGATGTTTGGATTCTTAAATTTCAAAAATTTTTCAAAAGCAAACAATTAAATTGAGAATCAAAAAATATCTCTTATTTGTCCCGAAAGTTCGATAGATAATGAACTTAGAAATCTTCAGAACTAATTTAAATTTTTGTAAATATTCACCCCATTTTCAACTGACAACTAATTGTGAAATAAAATAATATTCTAAAAATTAATCGTCAATTTCTATAATAATTCTATATAAATAAATTCATTATTAATTAAAACTAGAAACTTTAAAATGTCGAGCGTGGTTAATACAAATTCTTTTTATTTTTTAGTAGATATGGAGATTTGTAGAATTTTGTTGTTACCGTATTTGTAGAGTAATTCCTCTGTTTACTGCTATTCAAGAGTATATTAGATCGAATACAATGGTAAAAAGAAAAATGAATAGGATGAATGTTGTGGAAGTAATAGACTTCTTTTTTTTCTTGCACGCACGAGATTGATGTTAACCTTATTTAGAGGTGAACAATGTTTTTTTGTTTTTTTTTTTAAACTTAACGACAACGTTTGAGAAAAACAGAAAAATAAAACACGGTCTTGGTTATTGATTCATTAGTAGAATCTTTAATGATGGATGATGAAAAGGTTTCTTTCTATTCACATCAACCATACTAATTAGTTCTTTATAATGAATAGTATAGAGACAGTTCAAAAGTAGACGCTTATTTAGAATATTCTATTTCACAGTATATATACATATATAATTAAAAACGGCTGAACAACCAAAGATCGTCGCGGGCCAGTGTTTTTCGACCTAAGACGGGCTATATGCTATTGATCCATTGAAATTTTTGAAAGCGATCTGTGAGCTAGAATTACTGATGAAACATAGAAAATATTAGACACAGAGAATTTTAGTGATATACAACAGTTGGATGTAAATTTATTGAAGTCTAAAAATTATTAATTCTGTTCGTATAATCTTTCTGTTTGTTCAGTTATCTGTTTGATAGAGAAATGATCAAATCGTTATTTTAAGAAATGAATTGTTTGTGAAATTTTATGATCAGCTTTTACGGTTACTTAAATATTATTTTGACCGAAAAAACAGAATCCTAAAAAATACAAAATTTTTGACGATATCTAGCGCGAATGCGCAAAAGATAACCAACTTTATCAGTGACTTTCTTAAAAGGATGGTGTAGCAAACGTTATGTTATTCCATTGGATTAAGGTCTTCTGTAAATTAAATGAAATCGTACTTTGTACAGGTTATGAATGGAAATAATTTGAGTAAAATTGAAACAATTAAAATATGACTGAAAATTTTCGAGAAAAATCAGTAAGAAAAACGACTTATCAAGCAAGTGTGGAGAGAAGAGAAAAAGAACGAAACTAGGAGAATATACAATAACAAGTAGTTGCTGTTTATTAGAATCAATACTACTTCATTAAAGTTTGTGTATGTTTTCTGTTCAAAATGTTGTGTTCTTTACCAATTTTTATATTTTACACTTTTTTTAGTGAATTATCATGTGATTAATTTTACTTAGATAATCTATCGGAAAATATCAATCATTTTAGTCTTCTCTATTTTCTTCTTCATTTTCCTGTTTATTTATTCAGTGATTATTTAATTTCTTTTTTTTTTCTTCTTCTTCTTTTTAGTTGTTAATGCTATTTACTTCCAAATAGAGTTTCTCTATTGCTGTTGCTATGATTGTGTAAAATGACTTAATTTAGATGGAACATATCTTAACAAGCACTGTTAACAACAACAAAAAAAATATGCCCTGTTCTTCTTTTATGCAAAATAAAAAATGTTCTTTTTTTTCTTTTTCCTTGAACCTAACATTATTTCCGTGTTCATCTTCTTTCTATTTTTCTCTTAACAGTAACAACAACAAAATTCATTATTCATTTGATCTTTCTCTCTATATAAAAAGGAAAGAAGATTTATCCATTATATCTAATTTTCTACTTCATTTCTCTCTATTCGTGGTTATTCGATTAAACTCCTACATTTTTTAAAAACATTAGACAGATCTTATTCATTCTACATGTAGATTTTAAATAGAATATTGTTATATCTCATATATGAGACAATTGACTGTATCTTTGTCTTATAAACAGCCTAGGAAATAAATATGTCTGTATACTAAGATTTAAAATCGGCTCATCGTATTTTACCCAAAACATTAAAATCATTTCTCCTTGATATTTTCGACCTTTGATAGCGTTGCGAATCCATGAAACATATCATAACATGGGTCAATAACATATATTATTTTCTCTCTAATCATTCAATATTTCGCCTATTGCTATATATCAACAGATAGTACTGAATTTTTTCTGTACAACATATCTTCGATTGACTATTAGTAAAATATTCATAACTGATTTTATAAAGAGAATACTGAATTTTTTGTCAGATATCTTGCAGAGTTTTATCTAATTGAAGAGAAATTGAAGGTTATCATTCATTCGCTTTCTTATAGTTGTATAGGCTAGAATAGTAAGACTAGCGTAAAGCGGTGTTATGCTTGCTATCGTTTAAAATTGTGACTTCGATCAATGAGTACAGAGCATACGGATCGATGTTCTTTCTTTGTGCTCTGTCCAAATGTATTATGCAGTTTTGGATAAAAGATGTATATTTTAGTATTATTGAAAAATAATCAAAAACAATTTCATATTAAATAATATCTGGCCAATTTTATGTCTTATCCAGATATGTCTTTTTTAATTTAGCACAAAATAGTCATTTATATTTAAAAATCTTCATATATTTTCATAGTTTTTTTTTATTGATAACACACAGAAAGAATAAAAAAGAGTCATTTTCTGTTTTAACAAATCGACTCATTTCAATTGGAAAAAATATGTCTGTTTCTCTGAAAAGCATACACTTGTCTCGAAAAATAATAGAATATTAAATAATTTACCGACGATACAATGAACCTTTCGAAATATTAGAGTGGCAGACGGTTTTTCTACGTTAAACAATGAACTTTATCAATGATACAATAGGTTGATGTTTCATCGACAGCATTTCAAATATATGAATTTTTCAATTTTGTATTAATTTATAAAAAATCAAGTAATTTTATTACAAATATCAAAGACAAATATAAAATAAAAGGTTACCCTCCATGTAACGTTGAAACAAATAAAACGTTATCATTCTGTTTTAATTCATAATTTAAATCACCTAATAATTCCCAATCAACATCATTTATCAAAACAAGAATACCTGGTCGAACAGAATCGCCTTGAATAAATAATTCTGGACGTTCTTTCAGTAAATTATTACGAATCCAAACAAGTAGAGTACGAATTGTCCATTGTTTCTTATTATTCGTATTATTGTCTGTCTTGTTGTTATCAGAGATGAATAACGGTAATTTAACGTGATGTATCTTCTTTTTATCAAATAGTAACTCTGCACCACCAGTAAACTCAATAATTAAATGAAGATTATTATCATCACCATCTGAACAATTTTCATCCGCCTTTAAAGATGACGTTGTCATATTAACGTGAAATTGATCTGAAACGAATCATTCAAGAACAAACAACATTCAAATTATTCATAATCAAAGAGAAAAAACTTAAAGACAATTCCAAAGATTTTAGATCTGTTACTTTCTGTAGAGTACTTCTGTAACTACGCTGTATTTACAATAGAACAGAAACAAATTTTTCGATCAATTTCAACTTTTTATAGGCTTGAAATTTGATTTGTATTCGATAGAACACTAAATAAATAATACTCAGTATATCAAAATCCTAACAGTAAACGGATGGATTTTAGCTATTTGCTTTTATGATCTTGTAGTAAAAACATCAAAGCGTATACGCGCATATTCAAGTAGAAAAGGGCTCATCGAAAATAAGAGAAAACATGAGCGAGTTTGGAAACACTAATTAAGATATCATTTGTTTTGGTTGTTGCACTTTTCAAACAGGATTCACTAATTGATCAAATCACTCTGTCGATTTAAATTTCAAAATGCATTTGCGATGTTGCGCATTTGATACCAAATTCAGTTAATCTTCGCTTATCTACAATACATGAGAACACAGTCTGAGTTTGAATAGTTATAAAGGCTCATTTTCTTATTACATAAATCGAACACATACTATTAATTATTTGAAATAATTAATGATATTAATTAAACTGGATATTTTCTCTCATAATTAAGACGTTAACCATTTAAACACATCTGCTTGTTATCGATGTAAAATTATTATCTTGTTGTAATTATTGTTGGTTCGCTCGTACACACGACAACAGAATAGCGTCTTTTTGGCAAAGTCTACTGTGCCATTTATATCTTTTGAGATAAATTAGTCAATTTTAAAATCTCCATGTATAAACTATACTGGTTTAGTATAAGATGTGATTATTCGAAGGCATAGATTATAGTTGGTATTCGTATGTGTACAATATGACGATACACTTTTCTTTTATTTATAATATATCTGATATGATGAGATAAATAATGATTTGAAATTTTCAATGTGTTACAGTACGGTTGTGTAATAAGCATCAAGAAACTCAGATTTAGGGCTTCAAATGCTAGAAGAATAAGGCAAAAGTATGTAATAAAAGGCTACGGTGGTTCATGTAGCTTTCGAAGGTGTTTGTAACTCTAAAATCACTCTACTTACGCCATCCAAGATTCCTGTTGTATCAGCAGGTTCATCACTGAACAAGTTATATAAACGTTTGAATACGAGTGATTTTATTCAAAATCTGAAACGCAATTTCATAAACTGCGCTGTTCTAAAAAAAATTGAATAAGCGCGTTGAACTTAGTAAGACAGATGCATGTACTACATACAATTGTAATGGATCTTCTATTGATCCATTTGGTTTTTATTTCTAAACGTAGTAGAATAAATATGTCTGTGTTTGAAGGTTAATATGCTTCATTCACATTTAACAGATTGAACAATAATTTGAGTTAGATTTTAGTCGAACCTGATGGCAATGATATTGTCTAATTATTTCGAAGATTTAAATCGAAGCCAGATGAAAAAAAATTATTGAAAATAACGAAGTTTCGACGTAGCTCAAACGTTCGACAACATCACTGTTTGATAATGCATACTTTTCATCTTTTTTGCTTCCATCTCACGATGGACACATTTAATCGTTGACTAAAAAACGATATCAAATAAGAATATTGGAGGAAACAATCAGTGAATAGCAGAAAAATCTGTTGCCGGTATCAATCACTTCTTCTTTTATTCACAAATATAACGAATATAGAAGTTTGTAAACACTTCCTATAGCAGCATGTGCTTCAACAATAGTTTCATATTTCAAACATGTCTCAATAGTTCCTGGTAGCTTAGCTGATAGTAGTTTGCCTTTAACAGTGACTGTTGGAAGTATCTTTTTTTCAATATTTCAATGAAAATTTTATTAATCAAAACCAAGTCGATTTCTTTCTATATAGTAGTATATGAATGTTGTTTCCTCTTCTCATATTTACGTAACGCCCAGCAAAAACGCACATTTGTTTTTCTGCTATTTGGAAAACGAAAAATCAAGAACAACAACCAACAACAACAAAAAAAACGGTTACATTTTTTTTTGGTTATATGATAAAAACAAACAATAAACATAGAAAAAAATACACATGCTTTCTCTCATCATAGAGTAAATAGGATTTTGTCACAATAAGAAAAACAACAATACAGATACACTCAGAATCGAACGATCAAACTAAAAACGAGATGCATTAACGGGGGAAAGCTAATCATAGGTATAGAGAAAAAAACACTAAAAAGAACAAATACACACACACAGTCACGCGTAGGTGAAGAAAGAGATATATAATGTGTGAACAAGACAAGTAAAAAAGGATATGTTAGAGGTCTAAGATTTCAACAAAACACATTACCTAATTTAATAGATATGCTATAAAAACATATCAGAATCGGTAAAAAACCAAATTTGTTACATGTTGTCATATAGAAAGAAACAAAAAAATGAGTTAAATCAAAAGAAACAAGGTTGAATGATCAGAAGCGTAACAAGAGGACGGGACATTTGATAAATAGAAAAAAAAAGAGCGTGTTGGCACGAATCCATTTTTATAAATGTTTTCGTGCTAATGATACATAAGAACAAACAAAAAATAACAGAAAAACTTTCACCTAAATTTACATGTACACTGAACAACTAGAACACGTTTTAGTCGACGTGATTAATTAAAATAAGGTCTACTTCTCTAAAAACCGAAGAATAGTATTGTACTGTTGTAGTGAAGCTAGCTCAGAGTAAAAACGTTTTTTTAGTAAGCATAAAATAGAATCAATGCTGTATTCCTTTCATGTCAACTTGATTATTTTGTTTTCTGAAAACAATTTTACGTAACAAGAGTAACAAAGAAAGCAAAAACAAACAAACAAATAACCAAAAAAAATATGCATGAAATGTGTAATGCTCATCTTAGTACTATGAACGCGCTCTCCTCCTCTATAAATTAATGCAAAAAAAACAAAACAACAGACAATCAAATGTGCGACAGACAGAAAAAAAAGTAAAGAGAAAACAAAAAAAAAGTATTGTGTATTCATATATTGTTGCTGCTGTTATGATTATTGTTATTGTGTCGTTCTGATTCGATGTAGTTTACTCATTATCATTGACATTATTTTGTCCTCTATCATCTTCTCCTTCATTATCAACGTGAATAACATTGGCCTCTGATGATTTTTGTTTTGACATCTCTTCAACGTCATTTTTTTGTATAACTGTTGTTCCCCCTAATGCTGGTGAAGGTGTTGAACGATTTGATGATTTATTTCCACCTGGTGACGTATTACTTTTACGAAATGACGACGACGTATTATTCTTATAAGTAGTATCGTTCTGATTACTAGTGTCACTTTGATTACCTAGTGTATTATTACTACCGGATGATACCTGTTTTTTTGACTCTTCTGCTTGTTTCGATTCATAATATTGAAAATCGTCAAATATACTTGTTTTATCACGAAAAAAATGCAGAGTTTTTAACATCTGTTTCCCTTTTTCATACGGTATTTCTTGTGTATCACGTGAATTTGTTACGGGTTTATTTTCGTTATTTTCTAATCGAATATTACGAAATTGTTGATTTGGTACATCTTTAACATAAATCCATTTCACTTCAAATTTACCCTGCCATTTATTTGACATATGCCAAACGTCTGTTTTTGTATCATAATCAACCGGTGACATCATTTCAGCCATACCACAGAAATGTCCGGATGCATTTACACTAAAAAATAAATATAATGGGCCTTTTCCTTCTCTTTCACGAAATGCCACATCCAAACGTTTATTGCCATTTTCCGTTGAACACCATATATTATATTTTATAGAACGATGTACATCATCTTCAGAATAAGATTTAATTACAAAAAATCTTGCGCCTTTCGGTGATAAGTTAAAGTCTTTTGGATTATATTGATGATTACGTTTTAAATTGTCTAATATTTCTTGATTAGCAGCTGTTATCGGCTGAGTAGCTGACGATGAGCTACCGTTACTTATATTCGACGAGCGATTACCTCCACCAGTAGAATATTGTCCGTATTGTTGTTGATAATTATTCGACGATGACGATCCTAAAGCAGTCGAATACGCACGTTTTGAATATTGATTATTAGCATTATTACCACCACCCGTATTATTATTTGATGAACGTTCATAATAATTCGAATTACCGTGATAGTTGCTCGACTGACCATTACCCGATCCACCTCGTGTAGTATTATTACTGTTCGATGTCGAATTATGAGCCCAACTTAGCGTATTCGTTCCTCCACTTTGTTGATTGTTGCGAGAATTGTAGCCACCTGAAGTAGTGCCGCTACCTCTTTGTTGTTGACCATAATTATTTCCTGTACCACCCGACATGACCGCTGACGAATAATTATTACGCCCTCCTCCAGCACCACTGTTACGAATCGATTCATTACCAAAAGTATTATTCGATGTTAAATTATTACGATCATGAATATTGGTTTGATTTACTGATGAACTTTGTTGTTGTTGATTATTCGGTATTGCTGCTGTTGATGAAGATGTTTGCTGTTGCTGTTGGCGTGCGGTATTACTACTGTTAGTCGGTAATATTTTATTAGTATCCGATGATACAACAGATGCATACGATTTTGGACCTCCAGAAGATTGTTGTTGTTGTTGTTGTTGTTGTGAAGCAGATGCAGCTGAGTTTCGATTACTACCAATGTTCAAATGTTGATGTTCTTTTAGAACCGGTATCGCACCAGTATTAGAGTTCGTATGATTCGTACTTGTTGAATTCGGTTCATTATCGTTTAATGTAAAACTATCCTGAAGTTGTTTAGAATGTTGTTGTTGCAGAGAATGAGGATGATGATGATGTTCACTAATATCGACTGATGACATTTGTTGTGTTAACATATCAACGTTTTGTCCTACACCACTAGTATTCGCTCGTAAACTTCCAAGTGATTCTGGTAAATACTCATCATATACCGACGGTTTTTTTCCTATATTACCACTTGCTCCTCCTTGCAATGCATTCATCTGAGTTTGTTGTTGTGTGCCTAGTGATTGCTGTAACTGTTGATTCTGTTGTTGAGCAAATGCTGGTACTTGAGTAGTCCACGACATATCGAATGAAGTCTGGGGAAATGTTGACGGAAATCCAGGATGTCCGTATTGTGGTGGATGTCCTGTTAGATAATGCGGTGCATAATCAAATGGACTACGAGGAATTTCATTTATTGATGTATTATATACGGGATGATGATATGGCATCTGTTGTTGTGTGTCATTTGTTTGCCATTGTGACTGATCTTCAAATGGTCCAAATGGTTGATATAAACCCGGCTGTTGATAATAGCCGTATGGTTCATTCAGATTTTGCATTGGTAACGACATTACATCAAAATGTCCTAAAGTAAATAAGAAAAAATGTTTAGTTAATTAACAGTGAAGTACGTAAGCAGCATTTTTATTCACAGGATAACAAGAAGTTAGATTTGCATATGAAAAAGGTTATTTTCGGTTCTCCAGCTATTTGGTCTGTTCTATTCTGTTTGTCCAATCATCATGGTTGAACACGGATCTTCTCGCACAATAAGACAATTGAAAGAAAACTAAGACGATTCCCAAAGAAAGAACATTTTTTATTATGTAGAAACGAATGTACATCGTTGAAAGAAATAAAAAAGGAAAAATTTCACATCGATTCTATATAAATGGACGGACAGCAGAGTAGAGCAGAACAGAAAAAGAAAGAAAAGATTCTTGTCATCTGTACAGAAAGAGAAGAAAGAAATGCACTCACAAACATTTGTCATTCTGTCTCTTATCAGTAAGACTAACGTAGTAAAAAATTCACTAAAGCCATAATCATTAAAAACATAAAATAGAGAAGAAAAAAACGGAAGTTTTCTTCGTTCTGGCAAGTTCAATCTTTTTTTTATGCGTATGCAGGTAGATATGCAGTTTTAAATGTAAAGCAAAAAATTTTTTTATTGTATAATCACATGATGGAAGGAAAAAAACAACAAAAAACACCTGGAATTCCGTCAAATATTTTCTTCACATTCGTCTGTTCGAAAATTTTTACCTCAGTACGATACTACGTAAGATTGTGACTCATTTACCCATAATTTAATGTCAACAGAGTTGATTCTAAAACTTGCCAAAAAGATCGTTTATTCAAGAGTGCACGTGGACAACAAAACCGTCTTAACAATAGAAAAAAAATCGAACAATAATGAAGCATGAAACTCTATCTACATAAAATGCTTTTATAAGCATTTATGAAATCAAATAAACGAGAAATTCAAGCAAGCCAAAGAAGTAACTTCTATACTAGAGTGTATTTACAATAGACAAATAAGCTCGTGTTTCTTCAAAATAACAATACTTAATATCTTTAAATCTCATAAAAATTGATTTGGAAAACATAAATACTAAATCAGAAAAATAGACCCCTCATCGCTAATTTCTAATGCTTCAGTTATACCGATAACGAAATTTCATATGTTAACTTGACTAGAACAGCCTCGTCTCCACTATAAAATTCTATGAATCTCGCATAAGCAGTATTTGTGTTCAAGCACAGTTCGTATTGAAAAGAAACCGCACACCATATACAAAAAACTAAGGATGTCATCGTAAACCAAACACTACAGATTTCACGACACAAAAACTTGATGAAAAAGTTAAAGATTCGATTCTTCACTGTTTTGAAGGGCAAAGCAAAATGGTTATAAGGTGCTATCCTATGACTTGATCTAATTCAAAAGTGTCGTTAGAGTAGAACCTATCAACTGAACAACATTCTCATATTGAAATTCTTTATTCCTCAAGTGCTCAACAGGAAGGTTTGACTTCGATCGACCTTTCTTAGATATGAACTTGTTTCAGCTATGCTCATGTGAATCTGGTAATATGTTGTTTTAAAGGTCATAAAGTCCACAAGACCAGCATATCTGAGTAATACATTCAGCAGAAGAGAAATATACAAAATTCTGTTCAACACGTGGTTTTTTCCGCTGAAGTTTTACTTCCCTCTTTGTCGAAGACGCCGAGTTTTCTCACATTTTCCGTCACGACCTTGTAAAAGTTTTTAAATGTACGAGAAAACACTCTGATAACCTTTAAATATATCTAGACCGAGCTTTTCTGCTATTTTTTAAACACGGAAACAATTAATCTATCAAACTAAATTTGAAATGAAAGAGGAATATTTTAACATTCTCATGAAACAATCCAAAACAAATTTCTAAGCAAATGCGGAAGGTTCAAAAAATCAACAGAAATATATCAAGAAAAGAATGAAATTATCATACAGGCATAAAGTGTATATATATAAAGTGGGAAAATATAGGGTGCTGTGATATGCAAACAGATGGTGTTATTAATATTCTTTTAAAATTCTTACCGTAACCGAACTGCATTCCAGCGCCGGTCGAAGTTTGTTGCTGTGAACGTTCTGGCATCATCTTATCATGACTGAAATAAACAAAAATATTTATATAATAAAAACAATAGAATGAAAAGCAAAATCAATGTAAAACTTGAGCAGAAGTATTCTGGTAAACAAAATACAAACACGCACCAATTTTTTTGTTTTATTTGGTTTAGAACCGCAGATACAAGGACTGGTATTAAAAACCCACACAAAAAGCAAATACGGAGAATTTAATTTGTACAAATTGAAATCTAAAAAAATTAAGCAAAAGTTTTGAAGGACAAGGTCAATAAGCAATGTGATTTTACATCAAAAAAAACAGTCAGTCTATCAAACAAATAGGATTTTTGCTATTTTTTTATCTTTAAAAAATCTTTAACAAGCTACCTTTTTTACACGTATAATTGACTTTTCTTCTTTTACAATTCTGTATGTGAAATTGGTCATATATGTGTACAAAACTGTCCGGAGAAGCTTTTACATATTCAGATACACCAATCAGGAACCTACTTTATAGCCACTAAATGATAAAGCATTTCAATCATTCCACTGCTGTCTTACTTAAAATGGAATGTTTGAAGTGTAGAAATTTGATTGTATGAACGATATATCTCCTGTTTTCCAATAACAAATAATTTTGTTTGACTCTTAGCGATGGTTTATCACGAAGTTTCATTGGATTAAAACAGGCCAAAGGCAACGGTCAAGATGAGCAATCTAAGTTACGTTTAACGTGGCTTAAGCCACAGTCATGCATACGGACAGCGGCGTATCCAAATGGGCAATTGCCCATTTCATTTGGAGATTTGCCCATTGTAATTTGTATTAGTAAGTTTTTGCCCATTGAAATTTTACTTAGCAGATGTACCCATGCGGTTTTTTTTTGTATAACCCTTAGAAAGATATATGTAAGAGTGCCTATAGACAGAATTGTTTGTTTATTTTTGAATTAGAATCTAATTCAAAAATTAAAAGGATCTCATTTCATTTTTTTGTGTTCT